CGGGGGCCCCCCCCCCCCGCCCCCCAGGGCCCCCCGGGCCCCCCCCCCCCCCCCCCCCCCCCCGGGGCGCCGGGAGGTGCCGGGGGGGGGGGGGGGGGGAGGCGGCAGGGAGCCGCGGTGCATTCTGGGGGCGGAGAAGGATTAGGTGGTGTCTTAGCAACGGTGCCGTTCGCGTTTGGAGGAAGTTTGGCCCACGCTGCGTCCAGTAGCGTTAGCCAGGGCTCCCGCCAATTTGAAAGCCTGAAGCAGCTGCGGGAGCGCGGTGGTCTGTGGTCTGTGCGGGCAGGGCTGTGTGGGGAGGGAGCGCGGTGGTGGTTTGTCACCGGCCTCCCGGGCCGCGGTGAGGAGAAGGGCGGTTCCTGGCACTGAATTTCGTTCAGCCTCGGGAGCGAAACCTGTCCTCGCCAAGCTGAGTTCAGTCGGGCCCGCTGGGGACATCAGCTGGGAGCCACATTGCTCTTGCGACTTAACTTTTGTCTTCTCTAAACACGCAATTTGCCTTTAGGAGGCTTATCGTACTACCCTTCCTCCTAGACGCAGAATCACAACAGAATAATAAAATCAGTAATTTCTGTGTGGTCATATAACTTTTTTTAAAGCTCTCTGCTTTATAGCATGTTCCTTAAATGTTTATCATAGGTAAACATGTGGAATGACATTGAACTTCTTGCAAATGATGACACAGGGGGTGTGCAGCTCCCTGTAGGTTTAGGACACGAATGTGGAACTGCATTGTACCAAGTGGATACGCTACTTCAAATCACATCTTCAGAAAAGGTAGCATTCATCAAAGCTGTGTTTTTCTTAATAATTATCAGAGCTTCTTTATCATATTTTCTGAAGTGTTTCAGTTATTATATATAACAACCTTTTTCTTCTTAGGTCTCTGTTAATCCGCAGTTGTATGCATGCAACTCAAGGGGTGGCAGTATTATTGTTGTTGACGGATCGGTGGCGCTTCTTGATAGTACTGGGCAGTCTCTTCAGATGCACATTCAGTTTGGTAAGTTCATTCCTTTGGAATTCCACTGGAAGTTAAAACTGGCTTTTAAAATATATATGTTAGGTTTGTATAGGAAAATATGGCAAGTATCTTGCATATCTAACTAGCCTGTAAAAGGAAGTGTTATAATAAATACCTAAGTAATAAAAAGTGATTGCTGATTCTGTATACAATTAACTAAGTATTTCTGTACAATTTAATTAGAATGCTTGCTAACTTTTCACTGCAATGGGAGTAATGGATACCAAAACCACTCCCCGTATGCCCTTTCCTGTACTTTGTTTAGTCAAAATAAATAATGTTGAAGAAATCTGGGACAATGTATTGTCCAATTCCTTTGTTTCAAATATGAATGTCTATTAATAAAAAACAAATCTTAATATTTGACATTTTGCCATGGAACTTTTCAGATACTAATGTGGATGTAGTTGGTATGTGTCAAGAAAAACAATTTATTGTGGTCGGTGAGAGAAGTGGCAATTTCCATCTTATTCACATACCATCAAAACAAACCTTGCTAACCAAGGTACAGTAATTTTTCTATTCTAATTTTGCTGAAAGCCTTTTGTTCTCAGAATTTCTTGAGTTGTTTTTTTCTTTTTCCAAGTATCAAAATATAAACATTCTTGTGTTTTGAACACATCTTCTAGTTTGAGCAAACAAACAGATTAAAGGGACACTTTTATTCCCACGAATAAGCAAAATATATTTAGGAATGCCATGTATAAACAAGGACCAGTTCTTCATGAAAGAAAAAAGTTCTAAGTTTGACCTGATGATAAGTATTTCCAATTTTTTTTTTCTTTTGTCAAATAAAATACAGAATAATAGTCTAATAGTCTTTATGTTGATCCTATTTTAGATTTTGGTTGAAAAATCTTCAAGTGAAAAGACTTACTAAAATATCTATATTGAAAAAGATAATGCAGATGCAGGTAAGAATTTGACACCACACATTCCCCCCCATCTCAATTTCTGTGATTTTGTTCCTCTTTAATATCTCCCAGGGAAACAGACTGCAAAATAAATAATCAGATACAGCTTTACTTTGCGTTGTACACATTAAATGCACTTTTCTTAATGCTTTCCTGTAAAGGTATTTAGCTGTCATTAATTATTTTACAAATGTCATAGAAAACAACAAACATTCAGAACTCAATACCTTTTTCTTTTGAGACTGTGCTAAACATATGAAAATACTCAAAAAGGAAGGATTCCTTCTCTCTCCTTCTTCTATCAGACTTCAGATTTTAGTAGTTCCTGTTCTTCTATAAGCTCCCAGTCTTGTTCTGGCACAATACAATGTATTTAAATGTAGTTTTGTAATGAAAACAGAATTTGCAGTCTGATGGACGCATGCAAAAATCATAATTTCAAGCAAAACTCTAAGATGTACAAACTTAGTCTACTCTTCATTGAAGGTGACAAAATTTTTGTTTAAGAATAGTCTAATCTATGGGTTGAATTATTTTTTTTGTCAGTTATTTCACTGTCCTATTCATAAGCAAGTAGTCTCTCTGTGGTTATTGAATACTTAAGTTTGAAATATTTGTATCGGATTTTTTTTAGGTGTTTATCATATGTTCATTCTCACAAGCAATGGATTCTTCTGCATTATGTGTCTCCCACTTGCTAAAACGCGGGAAGGTAGGATGACCTACAAACCACTTGGGATTTCCGTTTGAACAGGAAGAGCTGTATTAAAAAAGCTTTTCCATGCATCTTTCTAATGGGAATAATATATTGAGTTGGGATTTTCTATGTAATCTTAGTTTGTTTTTAAAGGGAAACCGATATACAACTAGTTCTGTAATAAAATTATTTTTGTATTCTTCCAATAATTCCTTTAGCTTATGTTTCTCTGAGTCACTGCCTTAGAAAGAGTACTGGATATGACGGAAGCAGGATTTTAAGCTATAATCAGTCTTAACTGTACTGAAGAATATTGGGAATAATTTAGATTTTTAATGCTGTATAAGTAGTTATTAGTTAATTTTCTGTAACTCAATACTGTGATCAATAGAAATAGACCCTGTCAAAGATCCTGGCTGAAGTGTTTTTCAGCATAGTCAGGTTAGGATTAAACTATCCTATATGACGTTTAGTGGCTTTTTTCAATTTTGAAAAAGTTTATTTAAGACTTATTATTTATTATAACACTATATAATTACAGCAAAGAAAGTAAGAAATACCTGCTAACTTGTACCATATGTGTTAAGTGCAAAGTTTGTAACAAAACTTTGCTCTGTACATTTCACTGACTACTTACCAGTTTATTATTACAACTCATAATTTTGATTATTACTTTTTCTGTACATGGAGAAGTGAGCAGTTCAAGGTTTTATCCACTGATTGTATAAACAACTTTTTTTCTTCCCCTTTTGTTTGCTTTCCCTTCATCTTCCACCCCACAAGTTACAAGGACAGATAAAGACAGCTTTCATTTCCACAGCAGAGTATCACAACCTCGGCTGTCAGAATTTTGTGATAAATAACTCAGTGAACAAAATCCATTTGATAATTGGGGTAAGTTCTAAGAATATGTTTGTAACAATTGTTATGTGATCAGCGATGATATTTTTTGATCTGCAACAAAATTTTTCTCTAGCTGGTTGAAAAAGAAGATAATAAACTTTTTGCACTAAGACTTCTTGTCTTTCATTTCCTTCACTGTAAATTTAAAGGTTATCAGTTGTGCGGTCTGCCCATAGTTTTTCTTGTAAGAAAATAACTATTGTCAATTCAGAACTTGCTCTGTTACGATAGATGGGGGAAAAATATTTTCACCCTGGTTGCATGACCTTAGTAAATGACTGTGGTTCCTAGCCTGTACAGGCTAGTCTATTTATAGTCTTGTCCTTGAGCTCAGAGACAAAGCCAAAGTTGGCAAGAGTCTTCCAACCAGGTTCACATTCAACAAAGGCTTGCCAAAGTAACAATTAAGGTCCCAATTGAACAAAGCCCTTAAGCATGAATTAAGTACAGGAACTAATAAAAAAAATAAAAATATAAACATATTTTGACATGTTACTTTGGACTAGAAACAAGTTTTCTGGGTTCATTGACTGAAGCCTGTTGAATTCAATGCAATTTTTCTCAGTAGGTTCAGTGTACGTTTCATTCAGGTTTTATGTTCTATGAGAATGGAAAGTGGATGTTTCGAAAAACGGCATGTTTTTAGAAGAGCCAAAAATGTTTGGGGATGCTGACTGTAACAATTACTGTAGTAAAGGCCAGTCTTGAAAGGAGAAAGGCTAAATTAAAAATAAATAAATGTATTTTTCTGAACATCAACATTCACCAGGAATAAAGTTTGTTTTGCAGCTTTCCAAGTTAAAGGTCAATTGTAGAAGTATACCTGTCAATGGCCAAATTTCTAATGTATAACCCCATTTTACTTTGCCTTTACTAATAGGGTAAAGGTGATTATGCGCTCTCCAAATGGGAGGTAGACATGACCAATAACCTGGTGTCTGTTCGAAGTTTTGCTGATTCAAGTCTCATCAAAGGTAAAGAAGAGGTTTTTCTTCTTTTTATAGACAAGTGTAGAATTCATATTTAATTGCAGAAAATACTAAGACATTTTCAGTTATTTCATTGTTTTTAGTAAATGCACATATACCAAATAGAACACTTCCTGTAAAGGTACAGCCAAAATGTATGCTTCAAAATTGTTGAGTTTAACTTAGATATGTAAATCACAGTTCTGTTTAAGCTCAACTTTTCACAGTCCTAGGAAGTTCCATGAGGTTAAACATCTGTAGGTTTCCAGTGCTTGGTTGTACATTTTAATACATTTTTGCTTCAAATACATGTCTCAAGAAAAATAATAAATTTATGTGACTATGGATATTTTTTAGATGCAGTGAAACTTCAAGTTCTTGACAATCTGCTGTTTGTTTTAGATACAGAGGTATGTGTAATGATTTGGTTTAGTCTTAATTTTACAATGTTCTTGAACCAGCTTATAAAACAATTTTTTAAAATAATAGCTTTAAAATATGTTTCTATAAAATAAAGATGCTTATATTTACAGAGGATCTTGATCTTACGGTGTTTTTTTTATTCTACTCCTAGTCATTATTTAAGCTATGGAATGTGTTAATATTCTGCTCAAAAAGGACAAAATATATCTTCGATGAAGAAAATATGAAATCCATATCTAATTTTTTTTTTTTTAATCTAGAATATCTTAAGCATGTGGGATGTTTATTCTCTTACGCTAATTTGGGATTGGCCTTTAATACACATTGAAGAATTTCTTCTAAGTACAGAGTCAGATTCTTCTCCAGTCATATGGTAAGTAAAGCGTTATTGCACCAATTCTGAAAAGTGAAAAGTTGCCTATCGTTACAGGAAATGTGCTACAAACAGTTGATTTTCTGTGGTAGTGAATTTTTAGAAATCTTTGTTGAAATCTTTCCAGTCAGTAGGACAAAATAATTAGACTGTAGGTATCCTTAGCTCTGTGTTGTAGAAAAGAAAACCTTGGCGCTTTCTGCTTTTTCTTGGTTTATCTGTTGTTACTGCTAAGGAATCTTGCATGTAACCTGTATCATTTAGGAAATGCTTGTCTAAAATAAGGTGTATAATATGGCTTACAAGTATGATGTTATAAAAAAGCTAGTCTGTCTTTCAGATAGATAAATAGCAAGATCTTCATTCTGCAGATGGAGAAGCCAAAATCTGGAGATGCGTGTATTGGTTAAAATGCAAAAGAAATTAATGGCAATTACAATTAGAAGACAAGATTCTCGGCTTTTTCCATTGCTCTGTGCCAGTTTAAAAAAATAAGAATCAGATCCATTTGAAAAGCTTAAAAATGTCAGAAGTTAAATGTATGTCCTCTACATGTTAAAACACTGTTATTTTTGGGTGCACTAGAGGGTTTTAAAATGTACCAGTTTCCATGGAAAACTAAATTTTCTAAAACTCAGAAGCACAGTTTTAACATAAGATTTATACAGTATATTTTGCTTTCTTTTTTCTCTTTCTTGTTCTGTAGGCAAGGGCTTGCCAATGTTAAACTGATAGTCATGACAATACCGGATAACAAACAGGTATAATCTCTTTATCTGTGTTCTCTTCCTCGGTTGTTATGCAGTCACTCACAGAAAAAAGAGAGGGGGAAAAAAAAAAAGAAAATGAGATGGCTAAATACTTGGAGCAGACAGAATTCTCAGGAGCTCAAAGTCAAAACTGAAATATGACCATCTATATATTAGGATATAGCAAGTGAGGGACTATTGTGATGTCTTAAGGTGGTGACCAGGGCAAGCTGCCCTGCTGTTTGGGTTTTTTATGGATTGTTTGGGGTTTGTTTCCTTGCTTTTTTTAATGGTAGGCAGATAGAGGAGAGCAGCAAGATTTACTATTGTCTTGCATACCTTCACAGATTTCTTTAGAGCAGTATCTGCTCCACGTAGAGTCAGTATCTACCTCCATGTACAGTCAGCGGGGTTAACTGAAATAGAATGCCAGGATGAACATTATACAATTTTTTAAATGAAACCTGTCTAATTATATATAATAGACCTATATATAGAGGCAGCATCTAAATCTTCATTAAACTTTCTCAAATTGTAGAGATCTGCTTTTTCATAAAAACTTATAAATCTAGTGTCTTCCATCTAACTTTACAAGAATCCAGAAATGATTCTGCAAACATTACTCTGTCACAAGTGTATGAGGAAAAAAAAAATCTGACTTGTTATTTTGTTTGTTTTCCCCCTTTTTTTTTGTAGATGAGAAGTCTAATGGTTTTTGCGTTGCCCACTATGCAACCACTCTATTCTTTGGAAGTATCTATTGTTTCTTCACTTGTTCAAAGTGGGATTGGCACAGTATGTTTAGATTTTTGTTGTTGTTCTTTGAATAAATATAGTTGTCTTAATAGGTATAATTATTAAAGAGGGTACTGCGTTATTCTTGTTAGATTAGAATGAATTTCTACTAGAAACTGTGCAGGAATTATACAAAGAAAGATTAAATTATGTCCCCAAAGGATGGGAAAAAAGATACAATCTATAGCAAACTGAACAGTTTAATTCTAGGCCCAGGTCTATTGCAATGTTTAATACTACTGCCAGTTGTTCTTGCTGGTGTGACAGCTAAAAGCTGTATCAAGTTTTAAGTTCTCTTAGCATAGGAAAAGTGCTCTGGATCTATTTGGGATTTATTTAAGTTTAGATGACAGAACTACTTCTTTTACTGTTTAAACTGCTTCCTTATAAAGACTTTAAGAAAAGAAGGTCAACAAAGATGGCGAGAACTTTATGAATTAGGAATGTTATAAAGACTGGTGAAGTGAAGTGGGTATGTGAGAGGATACTAAGTCAGAAGTCTAAGCAGTGGCTCTTCATTGGAATCATGAAAGTGAATGTGGAAAGCTCTGGATCTGCTATGCAATAAAATACAAAGCTGATGAAATTGCTTGCCTTGTATGAAGCACTTGGCAGAAAAGATTATATATGCTACATGGTGGAGAAAATGAGGGTCCCTCTTCTTTGATCTGAGATGATAAAGTCAAGGTGGGAAATGCCAAGGCATATATTGCCTTTGTGGAATGTAGCACAGAGATCAGATTCTAAAAGATGTGAAGATGGATACAGTGTGACCTGCTTATGGCTTGGACAAAACGAAAGAGTGTAATTTTGAGAAGATGATTCACTCATGTGGAGGGTGTACTGATGGTAATTGAACTGGGGTAGCAGAGTGGTTTCAGTCTGAAGTGTCCAGTTAAGGCCCTCAGAAATTTTAAATGGTGGAAACTGCCCAGGAAATAACATGATAAGCATTTAAAAAAACCAACAAATCTATGTGAGAGAAAAGCAGTAGTTTGTTTCTTGATTAAGAAACACTTAATGCATTACAGTTGTGCTTTCTTATGACTGATTTCCCTTACCACCTAATGATTTCTGTTACTGCATGCTACAGGATACAATATACTTCTTGGAAGGAATTCATGAAAAACATCAGATGTAAGATAATGTTTTGTTTCTTACTAGATCATTATTATATAACAATGGCAGATTACTTCTACATATAGTTGTTTCACAGTTGATAAACTCATAGTTCCCTCTCATCCTCAGACCCTCTGAAGGCCCGGTTTCTATTGTTGTGATGAGAAGTTTAACTGAAGCCTTGCCGGAAAATAGGTACTAGTTTCTGTGAAACACTATTTTATTATTTTATTTTTTTATCTGTGGTTTGGCACTTATATTGAAGTAGTATACTTTACTTTATTTCACCCCTAGACTAAGTCGCTTACTTCACAAACACAAATTCACCGAAGCAGAGAATTTTGCTATTCAATTTGGACTGGATGTTGAGGTAAGTTGTCCATTCTTGATAAATACATTTGGAGATTAATTAATATAACTGAACTTACGAGTAAGGTTCTTGCCCTATAGTCCAACAGAAAGTATTAAAAATATTACAAATATAGTGGAATGTTACCTTACAAAGCAACTCGCTATACTTGAAAGCTGATTCAAAATTAGATGACTACATGGTGAACTATGTTTTTATTTACAATAACTAACAAACCTTGCAATGAGAAGTGGTGCAGAAGTACATCTTCTGATCAAAATAAGAGCTGCTGGATCAGGAGAACGGACATTTGTCCCTTTAAGTAGCAGGAAACAGTGTTGCTAAAAAAAAAAAAAAGTGGAATTTTCACATGCATTTATTAACACATAGTCTGGCTTCATTAATTGATTTATTCAAATAATGCAATTTGAATGTTTCCTCTGCTTTTTGGTTTGTTTTTTAAATAAAAAAACAGGCTTAGCTGGTGAGATAAAAAGCTATCACAATTGTATCAAACTGAAAACTTCATTGTGTCAAACTGAAAACTGTGTTTCTTTTTTTTTAAACAGCTTGTATACAAAGTGAAAGCAAACACTATTTTAGAGAAACTTGCTTCAGCTTCTGTTGGGAGTTATGGTCATGAAGTCTGGCTGGATCTTGTTAATGAAGCCAAAGAAAATTTGCAAAAAATTCAGGTATGTTTTTATTTCTACCCTCTTTCTCTAATAAAGTAATTAAAATTATAAAGGAGCTTGGAATTAATTTCAGTTGTTTCCTTATGCAAACAGGATAGCCAATTTGTTGTGGATTACTGCATAAATGCTCCATGGCCACTATATGAAACCACTCAAGAAATGTTGAACTACGCTAAAGTCAGAGTAAGGGGTTTTATTTGTTTAAATTGCTTATACTCGTCCATTCCTATTACGTGCTTCTGTACAGCTTCAGAGGGGGGACATCTTCAAACCAGTTACAGTCATGCAAAAAGTAAATGAGTTATAAATTGTATGTTACCAAACATGAAGAAGAAGTAAGGCTTGTTCCAACCTCATTCTTGCTATTGCTTAAGGGCAAAAAAGAGCTTACAGTTTTATTTTCACATCAGAAAGCAGGTTTTAGTTTGAGTAGTAGTCTTTTTAAGTACCTTTTAAATATTAATTTCAGGACTAAAAGCTCAAAATATGTCACCTTTTTTGTTTTCATTATTTTAGTCTTTCCTGCCTTATCAAACAGAATCAGAGAGATACATATTATCTGTCTGATTCTGCATACATGTAGAAATCCAATCAGAGTCTAACATTGTAAAATAAAGACTCCAGTTTACAGAGGTACTAAGTTTTTGCTCATGTCTTTATTAAATTCGTAGTACTATCTGGCATGTTCTGCATGTACTAAGTTGTCAGCCAAACCATTTCATGTATGTTTCAGATCTTGAAGAAAGACGATAGAACCATTGCTCCATCATCTGATGGGGCTCCGGTATCCATAACTGAGGTGAGGACAAAGTTCTTGGCCCCGCAGCATCATATTATAAACAAGTATGATGCAGAGTTTTAAAAACTACTACTGTTGAACTATTTAAAAGTCTAAACAAGCTTGTATTTTATAGTATGAAAGAGAAAAACAGTAATGACAGGTTTCAGAAATAAGCGATTCCTTCAGTCACAGAAAGATTCATTTTCAGATGCTCCAGAAATTGAAGGAAGAAGCTTTCTTAAGTGCTTTTAGGTATTTAATTTTGTTTCTTATTTAGTCCTATTGTATACTGGACAGGCCTCATCCGCCCTCAAGGAGAATCAGTGTAAAGTGTTTATACAATTGAAATTTTGGATTCAGGTTTCAGAAATAAGCGATTCCTTCAGTCACAGAAAGATTCATTTTCAGATGCTCCAGAAATTGAAGGAAGAAGCTTTCTTAAGTGCTTTTAGGTATTTAATTTTGTTTCTTATTTAGTCCTATTGTATACTGGACAGGCCTCATCCGCCCTCAAGGAGAATCAGTGTAAAGTGTTTATACAATTGAAATTTTGGATTAATGCTTTTTTAATCAAACTTACATGTGTAATTAACTGAAATGCTTGAAAAGTCTTTGTTTTCCTCCATTCTTCCTCTTTGTGATGGTTATTCTAACCATGTAATATCACAGTTTGGTAAGACAGATATTAACCTTAAATCTCTTGTCTGCATTCAGGTATTGAGAGCTCAGGCAAGGCTTACAACTTTTTATGGAGCTTTTGGACGAGAGAAATTCAGGTTTGTTTCTGTTTGTTCGTTAAGATTTAAAGTAAATGTAATTGTAATGGTTAAGTATGTGCCATATATGAAATTAAGTTTTTTGTGTTTGTTGTTTTTTTTTTTTTTTTTTAATTTGAGTTCATTAAACTTTAAACCCTTCCTTCTCTTCCTGAAGTTTCTCATCCTCTACTGTGGAGAAGGGAGAATGGAGGGAGGGTGCGTCAACCTATATGTTGAAAACATATTATCTGTTGCACATGCACCATCTTGCATAGATTTATTTTTTTAATTTAACGTCTATAGGAGGGGGGGTGATTTTATGCACACACAATCTAACACTACTATTGTCTCTTACAGCATATAGTACTAGCTAGAAAAGGTTTGAGGTTCTCCCCCCCAACTCCTTTAATATTGATGTTTCTTTTCCTCCTCTCGCTTCTAGTGGTATTGCTTGGACAGAATTCTTGAATAATGAAGACATTTTCAAGAATATCCTTTTTCAGCTAGGAGAAGGAAATTTATCTTGTGCACAGTACCTCTGGCTTAGACATCAGGTGAGATGGCATAGACATCTCTTTGGTATTTATGGAGGATGTTAAGTCTCAAATTTTGCAGCCTTATTTAAGAATCAGACCAATGCGGTTATGAAACAGCTCTTCAAAGAAGCAAAGGTCTATGGGAGAATCTTGTCTATTATCACAGTGATTACCTGCTCACCTAGCTCCTTAGAAGGCTGAACTTCTTATTGATTTAAGAATAAACTGCTTTTTCTTATGTCAGAACACATATTTCTAGGTCTGAAGGATGACAATTCTTTGATTTATTCTGGTGTGGTTATAATCTTCCATTCACTTTCTTGCAAGCGCAGCTCTCAGAATTTTTAAGTGGACATTTGCTGGCTACCTTAAAATCCTTTAAAAATAATCACATAGACTCCTTACACTGAATGACACATTCATAATAGTGGCTGTGGGATATTGTATTCTTTAGTGCAGGACTTTCAGGTCCATGTCTGTTGTTTTCTTAATAAGACAGAACTATAGAGCAAGTTCTAAAGTAGGACATGATCCTGCCACTGTAATTTGCAAAGGAATTGCTTCAGTTAGGTCTTGTTTAAGAAGACCAACTCTAGTTTTTCTGAACAGGGCTATGGTTGTTTTTTTTTTAAATTCCTGTCTATGATTACTGAGATTTTCTCTTTGTAGTTGTGAAATCTATTGTTTCTTCCTATTAGTGAAACAGCTTTACAGAGTATCAGATAAACATATACTCCATATATCTGTAATTGTTCTGTTTTAATATTTTAGGCAGATTTTGAAAGCAGCTTTAATGAGAAAATGCTGGAGAACTTGCTTAATGCCATCCATTTCACTGTTCCTTTGAAGGAACTATGTTTGTGGCTTAAAAATGTTGTGATCCCTTTCTTAAGAAGAGTTGTGCCAAAGGGACAGGTAAGACTGACTTAATAAATGCAAAATGTAATTTTCTCAGGCTAAGATAATTTTATAGTCAGACCTACAGACTTTTGTTTTTGAATGTCAGAACCTTGTTCCTCTGTCTTTTAAAAGGCTTCTTTTCCCTACAGTTTATATTTTAAATTATTTCTTTTAAAACAAATATTTAATGGCAAATTTTGCTTTGATGGATAGCATAACTCTACTTATAACTGTATTTTTTTCAGAAAATATTAGCAAAATGGCTGGAACAAGGTGCTCGAAACCTTGAATTAACTGATAAGGTAAGTCATACTGCAGAAGCTTTGTGTGTCTTGTATTTCTATATGTATAATACAGTTTGCTAATATAAATTATTTCGGACAGGCAAATTGGCCAGAAAATGGACTCCAAATGGCAGAGGTTTTTTTTACAAGTAAATATCAAGGTGAAATGGGACTGACAACTTTTCTCCAGTGGACTCCTTTGGTAAGAAATGTAGCAAATATAAGGATTTGCTACTAAGAGACTTCAGAACATATGCTCTGTGCTAGAGTTGGAATGGATGATAATTAAGTCATTATTGGTTTTGGTGAAGATTGACTTAATTTCATGAGAGGAAGGAACTGAATTCCAATCTTCTTGGGTTTAAAGATTAAAAAAAAGAAAAGTCAGTGCAACATTAATACCCTTTAAGAGATGTATTAATAGTCTAAATGTGAATAATATTCTTGAATATTCTGTAGTACACAAATAAGCCTGAGTACTATAAAACACTTAAATTTCAGTAAGGATACTCCTTATGAACTTAAATTAAAAACGTCTCATCTCTGTCAAAATTTTTGGAAATTAATTGCATTAATAACCATGTTATGGCCTGGAGAAAACAGGTATTAAAAATCAGCTAGCTGTAAGGTTACGAATACTGAATTTGTGCAAACACAAATAAATTATGTATGTTATATATCCTAGGTATACTAGCATCTATTACAGTGGTAGTATGAAAGTGGAGAAAGATAAAGCTTAAAGCTAACCGGCTGTGCATTTTAAAAATTGGAAACATTGACATTCTATGTTAGTTAGATCTGCTGTCTTAAACTTCTGAATCCCACGTTCAAAGTGCATAATGCAAAGAAGAGAAAGTTACTCCAAGTCCCACTTTCAACATTTACTTGATTTTCTTTATTGTATGCCATACAAAGGTGACAGTTCAGCATATATATTCATAAAATCTTCAAGATTGCAAGGCATCAAAAATGGTTTGTGAGGTTTCTTGGAAAATTGCATGAAAAATAGGGTTTCGACTCCAAAGAAAATGTCAGCTGTAGGTACATTGTTCCTAGCCATTTGTCTTACCTGTCCTTAAGACTTTCAGTGTATGAAATGCTCATCCCTCTTCCCTGTGCAGGCTCTACTAGTGCATCGCTGTCTTTATATTTAGAAAGAATCTTTTCCTAATATCTTACCAGAATCTTCCTTGCTGCACTGTAAGTCAACTACCCTTGTCTTATACCAGAGATGTGGAGAATAATTTGTTTTCTTCCTGTTTAAGACAGCCCTTTAATGGTCTTGAAGATTGTAGCAAGTCTTCTAATGTTTCACTTCTAAACACTGTTTCAGAGATGTGGTGACTGTGAAGAGGTACGTAGGTTGAAGAAGCTGGTAAATGATTTACAGGAACTGATAAATCTGTACAGAAAATACAACTGCAGGCTGGCACTCTGTGATTTTGAAAAGGTAATTCTGCAGACACTTCAAAAAGTGCTTTTGAGTAATGGATTGTTCTGAGAAGGAGAAAAATCGTGCAGCATGTGATTTAAAGTCAGACAAAAGAGGAATCCTGATGGATTGGTTGGTTAAACTTGTGTTCATAAGCTGCTAAGGCTATTTGGTATGTTGTGTTTGTTACAAATTTGTTTCAACTGTGGGTATAAATATATAATGTGACAAGATACTGTGAGAATGTATGGCTTAAACTCCATGATTTGCAGTTCATTACAGTTCGTATATTGTGGAGCAAGCATTAGCAACGGAGAAATTAGAAGTACAACTGAACAATAAGGGGTTTTGTAAAAGACAGCTTTTATTTGAGCTAAAGAGGGATGCTAGTTCTTGAAATCATTCAATGGTATAAATATATAATGTGACAAGATACTGTGAGAATGTATGGCTTAAACTCCATGATTTGCAGTTCATTACAGTTCGTATATTGTGGAGCAAGCATTAGCAACGGAGAAATTAGAAGTACAACTGAACAATAAGGGGTTTTGTAAAAGACAGCTTTTATTTGAGCTAAAGAGGGATGCTAGTTCTTGAAATCATTCAATTGATTTCAATGGACTCTGGATGTTGAATTATTTATTAGAGATGTAAAGGATCGTGTACTAACAAGTGTGATGTTCTAACATGGCATTGTTCTGCTTGCTGCCCAGGAAAATGCAAATACTATTGTGTTTCGCATGTTTGATAAAATTTTGGCACCAGAGCTTGTCCCATCCATTTTGGAGAAGTTTATAAAACCGTACCTGTGTGAACATAATCTACAAAAGGATGAACTTCTTCTACAGTATATAAAGGTAACCATATTTTCTACCTTTTGAAGAAAGCTGTTTAAACGTGAGTAAGCAGAAAACAAATCTGATGACCATTTTTATTTACACTTGAATTTTAGGACTAGCTTTCAGATTAGCTTACTCCTGTCAATGAACTTATTGATAGTTACTATTTCAGTAATAAGGCATTCAAATCTATCCCTTAATGTCACAAAAACTTAATTTTTGTTTATATTATATTTCTGTCTTTCCTGAATTCAAATATCCTAATAATCTTTATCAAAATATACAGGATTTGCTAGAACGTTGTCGTACACGGTCTGCTTCAGTATTTGAAACTGCATGGGAGGCAAAGGCAATAGCTGTCATTGGCTGTATCTCTGATACAGATGTAAGTATATTTTATGAAATAGACATCAAGTGACTCTAACACATCAGTTCAGAATGAAACACATAATTTTATATAAGCATAGGAGTACATTTTTACGTGAGTGGTATGAGGAGGAACAAATAGTATGCTGTCTTTTTTTTCTATCTTAGTAATCTCCCATGTGATGTTCTTTGCTTGGGAATTTAATTGTAGTTTTGACATCATCACATGGAAAACTCACCAACTTTAATATGTATGAACTCAAGCTCTGCAGTGTCGTAAATTACTATAAGCATATTCTAATTTAATTTGACAGATATGATAATGAATGCCCTTTATGCAAGTGGAGATTGGGCCAGGAAATAAAATTCTTGCCTAAATGAATCAATTACACGTGAACAATACTTCAAGAGATTACCTTGTAACTTATGTTTAAAAGTGAGCTCTTTATGTTCCTTTTATAGCTGAAATTTGATGCAGTTCTACAGATAATGCATGGTGCTATGGTACCATGGAGTGCAGCAGTGGAGCAGCTGGTAAAACAGCATTTGGAAATGAATCATGTCAAGTAAGGCAACATCCACAGTCTACACCTTAGTTTTGTGTGTACTTTCAATTAGAATTCTGTTTTGGGGGTGGGAAATACTGTGTATCTGATGTGGTATGATGATTAAATCACATAGCTGTAGGTAGCAAATGCATTAATAATAGTCTAATTTGTCCATAGAGTAAAGTTACTGCAGGAAAGTTACCGACTGATGGAGATGAAGAAGCTTTTGCGAGCCTATGGGATAAGAGATACTAATCTTTTAAAGGACAAGCAGATGATAATGGTAAGTGATCAGCATTACTCTTATTTCTATTAAACAAAAGTCCCTACGCTTACCTGCATGTATTTTCATGGGGTATTATAAGCCAGACTTTTCAAAAAATCTGAGCGACTGGTAGCTCCCACTTGTTACCAATATCCATTTTTATTGTCTTATTGGGACACATTTTTTGCCCAAAAGCCCACTCTTTTTTTAAGAATTAGCAGATTAGCTTAGCCCAACCTGATTGGCACAGCATTGATAATATAGTACTTTCTGTATAGGGGGGCAGGAAAGAAAAGAGGAAACTAACAAAATGGAAGGCTAAGTCCTCTCAAGACTTCAGATCCGATTTCTCCTAAGGTCACAGTGAACAATACTTGGTGATTTTTTTTTTTTTAATTTTTTTTTTTAGCATCTCCCCTTTATTAGGGAGAAAACATGAGTATTTCTGGAAAAGTTCCTTGCCAATTTTTTTTTTTTTTTTTTTTTTTTTTAGCATCTCCCCTTTATTAGGGAGAAAACATGAGTATTTCTGGAAAAGTTCCTTGCCATTCTGTCGAGCCAGATGAGTCCCCTGAACTTTGAGAGTTCCCAGGATAATTCTCTTCCCCAAGCTAAATCTTCTCCCAGTCATGCTTTAGTCAAGTTTTCTCTAGATAAAAGTTTTAAACTTCTAGGTAACTTGCTTGTTTCAAGCTGTACAACTACAATGCAGAAGTAGCGTGTATAAATTACTTCCTTTGTTATCCTATACCTCAACAAACTAAAGTCCGTATCTGTTTTCTTCCTACAGAGGCTAGTGAAATACATTCTTAAACAAGATACCCCTACTTCTTTGGAGGATGCTTTGAAAATTGTAGCGGCATATATGTTGCCCACTGTGGAAGTCTACATTTTGAGGATGATAGACCTGATTGACAAAGAAAGGGTACTAAAATGCTTCATGTCAGTTGATCTCAGAACTTAAAGACACTCAGGTCTATTTTCAAAACAGGGGCAAGTTTTACTACTTGCTGAAATCTTATACATGGTTTACATATAATTTTTTTTTTTCATTACGGTTCTATTAATTGTACACATAACTGCCTATACTTAACATTGACAAAGGTCTCATTTTCAGAGTTTTAAATATCATGAGGCACCCTTCATTTGTGGCAAAAAAGGATGAAAATTATGGCCCACAATATACAAAACAAGTTTGGAGATGAAGTCTTTACATATTTTCACATACTGGTTTTGCTAGAGTTGTTTTGGGGCAAGTCGCTTTCTTGCCAACAGAAAAGAAGATTCTTTCCTCTGAGAAACACTTTCTTCTAATGCAACGATACCCCACATGAGTATAGACCTGCCTCTTTAGTACTGAGAGCACCTGAGTGTTTGTCTTGCGATACAGGGTGTTGAATGTATATCTATTAGTACAGAGTTTTCTTCCAAGTTAATGTCAAGTCCCAGTTTAGCAAAAAAACCTAAAGTTATCTTTAAATTACATTGATGTCCTAACTAGAAACATTTAACTTCACTTGCTACATTATAGTAGGTGTGATTACCTTTATGCTCTGTGGTTGTCCCTGGTTACATTATTGGGATCTCTTTGACCTGAAGAAAAGGAGGCTTTTTGACTAAAGGAATCAAATTAACGCCCCTGCAAAATAGTGTTTCTCATGTTAACATTTGTTCTGCCTTATTAGCACATGGTATTCTTGATAATCATACTGTTTTAAAAATGTTGCATAATTGCCAATGAACAAAACTGCATTTTAATTTGCCTATTGTAAGCCTTAGTGAGTAAGCACATAGATTTTACTGAAAGCCTCATAGGTTTAGTGAAAACTATTCAGGAAGTTTAAGGAAGTCACGTCATAGTAAATGTATTTTCTAAAGAGATTCGAAGTTCATCAGCAGAAGATTAATCTTACCCGATTGGCCATCATGCAACCATTGTATCAAAGCAAGGGATTGCACATAACTTAGCTTTTCCAAAAGCAAATGCCCTTTTCTTTTGATTATTTCTGGTTTACTTTTTTTTCCCCCCCCACCTTCTTCAGGGAGAGGAATCTCTGACTTTGTTAAAATCTCTGACTCCTGCTGAAGCTGAGAAAGTTGCAGAGAGACTGACTGTATGGGGAACACTGGTATTACAGAATAATGCAGATAATTCTGAAGAGGTACCAAGTCATTTCACATCGTAAAGTGTGTGCACACGTTATTCTAAATACTATTCTTACCCAGATGCTTAAAAAAAGGTAGGGGATGCAAATGTAAAAACTGTCTTCCAGCAAAAAGGGATGATGAACTGGTCCTGCTCTCAGCAAAAGGTTGGACTGGGTAACCTCTTGAAGCCTCTTCCAACTTGAGTTTATTCTGATTCTGTATATTATACAATTATTGTGTGTTATTTTTAAAGGCAACTCCACACAGTGGCATGGCTATCTGAATTCAATTAATAATTTATAAATCCTGCTGCATTATTATACCTCTAGTCCTACATATTTTCCAGTTCTTTCTTTATTTGCTTGGAAAACATTTAAAAACTGTAGGTGTGGCTTTGCAACACACCAAAGTGGGTTGAAGCTTCACGGTTGACAGTACACATTACTGGCTTGCAACCACAGAAGAGAATTTTTGTTAACGGTTGTTTTAGGGAGTTATTATGGGCAAGGGAAGGAAGAACAAAGGGAGAAGGGTGGATATTTTCAAAACTCCTGTGAGAGCTAACAGACTGTTTGGAGTACATACATACTACAGCTATAGAATAGTTGCTATTTCTGTAAAGGATGCATATTTACAATAACTTTCTGTTCCCTTGCTTTTCAACTGGTTGTATCTTAAACTTGAGAATTGTTGCTTAAGACATTCATAGAGCATTGCATAGTATTTTAAGGGAGTGGAAGCCTGAGGGTCACTGTCTGTTACTGGCAACACTTTGACCAAACAAAACATTAACCTCTTCCTTCCCTGCAGCACAAAACACAAATGTTTATGACTAAGACCCTTGTGGAAATCCTTAAATTCCTGTTCAGCATTCAAAAAGGTAAGCTACAACTTAAAAATATTACATTTTGTTTGTAGATGGAGTCAGGAAGTAATTGTTTTTGTCCTCCAACAGACAATCCTCTGAAGAAAGATGAATGTGAAGCAAACCTAAAAATGTTTGAAACACTTGCTACCCTGCAGGTAGGTATCTTTATAGTTTCAAACCACTTCTGATTTACTGTAGTTATTCCAATTGTTCTTATAACATGGATGATATTAAAAATTAATTGTATTTACAATTTATGTGCAAAGGTTGTTTTTATTATTGACTTCTAAAGAGATTCTAAGGCTATCTACCAATTAGTGCCTGGGAAAGTTCCCAATGACTAGAACTCAGTTGTCCATTTAAACCAAAAAATTAGATACTCTCCCAAAAGTCTTAATTGCTAACACTTCAAAGATTTCATGATAGAGTACTGTAATATGTTATTAAGGTCTTATTATGATTTGTAAACTTAACTTATTTAATACAGCATTTGGGCACGCAGTATCCTTCAGGTTTTTTTTATTTTGCTTACCTACTGCCTAGCAAAATTCTCCGATTTATTACGTAAATCAGTAATTGGTAGAAACTAGTAAAGTCAACTTCATACTGAAAGTATTCCTCTAAGAATGAAACAAGAAATAAAAACATTTTAACAAAAAAAACCCCCAACGTTTTTAAAGGAAGCTACATGAATACAAATATATAATCTTATTTTTTTGTTGCAGGAAGATTTTGATATCTTTCTCTCAGTCAAAGAATTCAGGAATCCTTCACTGATGTCTAGGCTTCTTGAGAAGCACATAAAAGCTTATGAAACTGTCAGATCTCTGTCAAAGCCTAGGAGAGTGCAAACAATGAATTGTAATTCAGAAGATGGTAAAACCAAGAACCGTTCTACTGAATCAGGGTTGTATAGACTGGCTTTGCTCCTGCAAAGGTCAGAGCAAGAACTGGGGGAAAAACTGGCCTTGAGAGCACTAGATGCTGGAAAAGTTGAAGACGCTGTAAAAATATGCAGGTAAAACGGCAGAGGTTTTCAAGATTATAACTTTTAATGGGCTTTTCTGTACTATTTCTGAGACTTTGCAGAAGTAAGTAGATGTAGAGCAAAGGAAAGGGGTTTTTTTGTTTTAGTTTTTTTTTCTAAAAATGAGTGTTTAAGCAATATGCTTATATTGCTTGTATGCAATATTGAGTGTAGAGTTAAGTTGTTGGCTCTGAAAATTGCCATTGTTTTTTGCCGTAACATGATTACTAAAAAAAATTTGGATTTCTATATATGCCTCTGTAAAAATAGGTGCTGCAAAAAATTGTTTCCTTTTAATAGGACATATGAACCTTCCATTCATAGTATGCTAATGATCTTAATATTTTTACAGATTTGCTATTAGATTCTCTAGAACTATGTAAATATACTTTGGCTGCCAAGGAAATTTACAGACAGTGCCAAATAGAAAATTATGGATTTACAGCAAAGGTATTTTCTGCTAATTTAAATATATTTTTTTAATATATGTAATGTTTTGATTGACTGAATAGTGTTCACTGTACATACTTTTTTTTCCTCCCATTTCTCCAGCAATATTTAATCAGTTTGTTTAAAAAGCAAACAACAACAACAAAACCTCACACAGCTCTACATAAATAAAAATTTCCCTGAATATGTGTGTACTTCAGCGTAAAGAGTAAACTGATTTGAGTACTAAAAACAGTGCAGCTGTGGCACAAGCACAAGTAGCATTCTCCACTTACGTTTCAGTATAATAAATCCTGCTAATGTGACTGAAAATATTAGTGATTTTAGTGAATAGCTGCTGCCAGGACTGCTAGAGAGGGTAGAGAGCTGACTTTCAAAAAGCTTCTTTTTTTTTTTTTTTTAAAATTATGTGAAGGCATTCCCAACAGTTTTGTAAAACTTTAAGATGGATCAAGTTCTTGAATAGCATCTTTGTTTTTTGTTCAGGTCAAGCAGTGCTTTAGGCTACTTGAAATGAATGGGCTCTTACAGTTTGAGTGGAATAGATCAAAGTGGCTAGGCAAGCATATTTATGCACTGAATGTTATTTTTCTAAAAAATGATCCACTTGAAAAATGTTTACTTATAATATTTGGCCAAGATTGTTTATTAAAACCTCCATTAAATTAATTAAGAATGCATTTTGGCTGTACAACTAAATAACTGCAACATTAAAGAGGAATGTGGCCACTCTAAGTAGGAAATGTGTTTAATGCTACTGGCCATTTAACAAAAAGTAGCATAGTAGAATCCATTTTCAAATAGAAGATTGTGTTCTATTCCTGTATTCGAAAACTGGAATCTCTTGCAACACTTTGTTAGTAGACTTACTAGCTGTTCTTTTGATTGTGTGTATTTTTGACAATGTTCTTATTTAGACAACATCTTTTGGAGGAGATAAAGATCCTTATGAAGAGTGGACTTACGATGACTTCTTTAATGAAGACGGGATAGTTCTTGATCCACAGATAGCTCTTCCAGTTGCATATGAAACTATTTCTTCTCTTCTGCCTGTTTATGGTAAACTTGCTGTCCTGAACACTGAGTCAATACACAATCTGTATTTCATATTGATTTTTATCCAGGAATATAAATAATTCAGCACGTGTGTGGAAATTATCACTTCAAGTCTCAATTAGACAAACTCATGGAAGAAATATCTATTGGGGGAGGTATAGAATGTAAAGATGACTGGTTTTTGTTCTGGTTCAGGAATAATCTGAATAATGAATACCTGAAGACATGCAGAATGCTCTGGAGAAGTGTTACTATAAACTTGCCCTGTTCTTATGATCTTCTCTAGACATCTTCTGGTAGCCACTAATGGAGACAGGATTTTATCAAGATGAATTTCAGCTTACTCTAAAATGATTGTCCTTGTGTTATATACCATTGTAGATACACACAACTTTTTGAAAATTTCAAGTATTATAAACAGAACTCTACAATGTTGTAGGTGCTGCAGAAAGACACTTTCAGCTCTCTAAAAGAAGCACTGAATATTTTAGAATTATTTATTTTTAATACTTCTTGATGTAAATGCTTTCTTTCCTAATGTGTCATTGGTGTATTAAAAAAGCATATAACTGCAAATACTGTTGCACAGTGCTAAATCTACCTATAAAGGATATGCTTATTTGATTGATTTGAATAGATTTATTACCTTCACAGATGAACTGTTTATGTTGACTGTCTTATCAGGACAAAGGGATTTGCACACGAAGTAGTTACTGCAAACTGTTGGTTTGTATTCCTTTGTGTTTGAAAAGATATTCCCTCCTATAAAATAACTTCTGATTAGGCACAGTAAAAAATAGCAGTCCTGGCTCTTAGATTTCATGTGTATTTATTTTATGTACTGTCCCTGAAGTATAGTATTTTTAAGGTACTTCCAGACTTCATAGTGTTGCTGAGATCTTGGCACGCTGCTGATGTGTATTTGTCTGTCTTTCAGAGAACAAGCTGTATCCTTTGGACTCTACAAGCCTGGCAAACTGTGCATTTATTAAAGGTATCATGATGGCAGATTCACCACACTAAAAGCATAAACCAGACCACTAGAAAACGTGAGGTTTAATTTAAACCTACACAAGCATGACTAACATAGTTTTTTAAATAGGTGCCTAGATGTTCCACTTAAAGCCATATTCTAGGGGGATAGCTGGGTTCAGCACAGAAGACACCAGTCTGGATGGTAACTGCTACCATTCAGCCATGTGATTTTGGGCATGTTGTCAAAGCCTGTACTTCAGTACAGAAGGTCTACCGCTATGAGCTAGGATCCATTAGAGCCTTTCCAAGAAGATGACCAACTTCTGTTTTTTGAACTAAAATGCAAGTGTATTAAATTAAAAGCCCTGAAAATTTAAGGTTTCAAAGGGAGCTAAGGCTGATCTTGTGTCATAAATTTAATGAAGAAAAAGAGAAACTGCTCTGATATTAATTCCAAGAACAATATGCTTAATGTAAATACAGTAATTATTTTCTGGGGTTGTTTGTTTTCAAAATATATCACAGGACAGAACCTTCTACTACCAGCTAGAACTCCCATCTGTGCAGTGCTACAGAACCTCATGGAGTGCAGTCAGTGCGAGTTAGCTTTGCGGCTAATAGTCTGTTCATTTGGATCCTGTCTTCAGCATGGTGTATCAAATAACATGGATTTGTCCCTGGGTGAAAAGGTATGGCAAGGACAATGCTGAATTTTGCTGAGAGTAAATCTTAGAAGTATACCAACTATTAGCAAGTTTAGAGTAGTTATATAAGAATTTGATAGGTATGGGAGAGGCTATCACCATGACCTTTTAAAAACTACTACCACTTGATCAGATGTTGAGTCATTTTGTGAAAGGAGCTGGTAGTTTCTTCCCTATTTTTCATGGTTCTCTGTTTCTCTTTGCAAAGTATGTTCAGAACTAATTCTGAACTACTTCTTCTAGTCTCTGCAGGGAGGCCAGGAATAAAATGAATGTTAATAACGGTTTATTATGTACTTTCACATTGTTTTATCATTGGTTAGTATGGGAAAAGTTGCAAGTAGAATATTTGAGAAACACTCCTCAGTTCAAAAGCACTGGGAATCAGAAATTCTTTTTCTGGCTAGAAGAGATTTTTATAAGACCTTAATTAAATCTGAAAATACAATTACTATAGTACCTCCTATTATGCTATAAATGACAAGAGAAGTTGAAGGCTTGGAATTTATTTTTAACTGTATGCTGACTGTCTTTTTTTTTTTTTTTATAATAGCTACATGAGGGCAATATGCTAGCTGAAACGAAAAGCTTTCTCATTGCTATGAAACAGAAGTGTACTTCAGTAATTATGACCACTATCCTGACCTTACTACACAAGGTAAGAATGCTCTGAAAAGGGTAAGAGTGAGCCCCTTTCTTCTGCTCTATCAAGAAAGGGGCTACCCTTCGTATTGCAGAAGCCCATTCTGAAATTGTCACATGGCCAAATGCCACAAAACCCCCACATTCTGGAAAAAAATCACATGCCTTGTGAAAGCCGTAGAGAAGGTGAAGGGAAGTACTGACAGTATTGCAGTGGTGGGAAAGGATTGGGTTCCACAGCCTCATGTCTCAATACCAGAATGGGGCAAGGGTGGGCTGGATGGCTTGACAGCATTGGCCTCTGCAGTCCCAGCTGCCTTGCTTCCTACCACAGCTGGAGCATGTGCTTCTGAACAGACACCACCTTGCTGGCAGCCACATGTTGTAGTCCTGGCATATTTGACTTACTCTTACAGACTCTGGCTCTTTGATCATACACTAGTTGCTCTGCCTGAAAAGTTATGTAGTGTGGGAGCTTCATCTTTGTGGGATCCTTTAAGGACTCCTAAATTATAATAATGGCCTTTATGATCTGTAGGTATTCTCTGTCTCATTTTCAATCCTGGTTTCATTTTAGATTTGTAGACTTCTAGTTGAGGCGAGTTCTTAAAAAAATATCTGCAAAACCTGCAATATACCATCTTCTAAGGCAGTTTAGACCAAGGGAAGTTACTTTTAGACTGGCTTCAGTATATTTAGATTTTAAGTTCTAAAACCTGAAAAACATTTTCGTTCTTTTTTTTTCTTCTAATTTAAAGGCCTGATACACCTCTAAATTACAGAGTACTTTTTATGTGTTATATACTTTACACAGAGACCAATTAAAATAAATTCCTAAAGTTTATAACTAACTTCTTTTTTTTTTACCTCTTCCTCCCCCCCAAAACACAGGTGTTCAACTGTCGTCTCATAGACCAAAACCTGGCATTGGGATATTGCACAATTTTGCCCAAGGAAGATATGTTCAATAAGCTGTGGCACGTCATAAACAATACATGGCAAAATTACAGAAAAGTTTTGGTAAATTCACAAGGCAACATATTTCTTCAGCAAATAGAGAATGTTAAAGAGTTTCTTTAAAAAAAGACATCAGCAATATCATATGGGAGTGCAATGATTTGCCATTATTAAGGGTGTAGGTGTTTGAACAAGTTCTTCATTTAGGGCGCCACTGAGAGAGAAACTACCTCTCTTTACCACAGCGTAAGATTGTGCACAGGCGGTTGCTGTGAATAGCTAGCATGATGTAAGTCAAAGCATTAGGTTACCTCATCATGACTTATTCCAAAGCTTGAAATTGTTTATTTCAGGTCCCATCATAACTCATACCTACATTATATTTTGGAGAAATTGTTCTCTGGTAGCAGTTGTCAACAATGGAATGAATAAATAAATACGTCTATTAAAATATAAAGGAAGATGGGAAATAAAGCATAACAAAGAAATGGGCAGGGAGAGTGACATAAATTTGGAGAAAAGATGATGTCTAAAAAATACCTTTTGTATTAGTTTCACTAGTACAATACTAACAAAATATTTTTGAGAAAGAAACTCCATTTTAAAGTAGCTTTGAACTACCAATTCAGGAGGTGGGGTAATCCTGATACTACCTTCTGTGAGGTTTGTTTTCATTTTACACAGTTGTGTGATCATCCATGAATTGTTTTAAATTTCTCTGAGGATTTAGACCTTAGGATTCCCAATTTTCAGATTCATTATTATACTTGTATTCTTCCCTTCTCACTCCTTTTAGGCAGTAGCTCTGGTTGGAGCACAGCTTGCTAACCAATGTGGTGAAACGGAAGAAAAAAAAAAATTCCAAGAATTGGTTACTGATGCAGAATGGGGTATCCTGCTTAGTAAATTTGGTGTAAGTTTTATTTATTTATTTATTTTAGGTTTTTATTAACTGATTAAATGTCAGTATATTCTGAGATGTATTGTGATTTTTAGACAGATTTCCCATTCAAATGTAAGGAAAGCTGGGGGGTTTGTTTTGTTTTTAATTTTTCATCCTGCTTGTCTGCTTAAATAAACCTCAGAAACTGAGAAATGCAATAATTGAGAGTGCTATAAAAGAACTTTTAAGTGCTTAAGTATTATTTGGCACAGGGCATAGTAAGCAAATGCACTGCTTTTTCCTGCTCTGAAAATCTCTAGATTGAAACTAAAGAAAATGTAAAAGGTTAACTATATAAGGAATTAGTCTTGATATTGTCTAAAAGACTTCTTCGGGAAGAAGATAAAATGTTTATTTACCTGTAGATTTCTTTCGAGACCGTATTTAGACAACCACCAATAAGGAAGAAGGAACTCATAAGAACACTGGTACAAAATCCGAAAGTAGACACAGATCTCATATTGAATTAAGGTAGGTAATAATTGAAGCAAATCAATTGTGTTTAATTGTTGCTGTAATAATATGAAATCTATTTTAGTTTAAATAGATCCTAATTAATGTAATATGCAAATTGTTGTTTGGTTTTTTTAAGACTGGTCTCCTGGTGAATTTATTCATAAAGAAATAAGCACCTTGACGACACCAAAAGTCACAGAGAAAATAATATTCTGTCCTTTTCTAGTACTTTCATGCTGGACAGTGATGCCGCACTGCAGCTTTGCATTGAAACACTTCTTCTCCAGAATGCTAATACAAATCATGTTGAAGATGACTCTGGAGAATACAGTGAGAAGCAACCTCATTCCACATTACTAGCTAGAGCACTAGAAATAATTCCTCTACTGAAAAGCACGAAAGACCTGGTCACTAGCCTCAGTGGAATATTGTACAAGGTAAAAAATAATAATAATAAAAAAAGACAAAACAAAAAAACAACACGCCAAAACACGCAAAAAGAATCCCTGAAGTATGCATCTAGTCTCAAATGTCACTTGAATGACAGATTAATAATTCCACAGAAATTTGAAGAGGTTATTTTTTTTCCAATTTTGCTAAAGAATGTAAATGTTAAGTTTCAGTTTTCTACTTCTCTAGGAAAAAAAAAATAGAACAACATATCTGATTTTCTTTAAAGACAGGTAGTCTTTCTTCCCAACTTCCCTTAGAAAACAACCAGAAAATAATCAAACAAAAAAGTAACTTCTAAAAATCATAGCACACTGGAAATATTTCGAAGCATTACATTAAAAATAGATAGGGAAAAAAAAATTTATATCTTGTTTTTTTCTGTTTGGTTGGTTTTTGGTTTTGTTTTGGGGGGGTGGTTTTGTTGGGGATTTTTTGTGTTTTTTTTCTTTTCATCACTTCATGTTTGGTCTTTCTGCAATATTCTGACTTTTTTTTTAGGATTTAGGACTATGAAGTGGAAGTCTTGTTTTAGAGAAGTAGATCATGATGCTTATACTGTTTCTTCAGTGTTATGTCAATATAGTTGGTGTTAAAATTGGAAAAGTTAACTCAGTTGTATGTTTTTATAAGACAAATCATATAAGATCTTATAAAATAGATCATTATTTTGAACAGCTTGATCCTTATGACTATGAAACTATTGAAGTTGTCCTGAAAGTGATACAAAATGCTGATGAAAAGAACACAAGTATCCAGCTGAATCAGGTATGTTCTAATATGTTCTATAATAATTCTATGCTGTTACCTTACTAATGGCAACTGTATTCTGTTTTGTCTATTTATTAGTGTAGTTATTCAAGAGTCTGTTGAAATTAATTGAATTATTCTATTGGCACAGCTCTCATTCAGAAAATAGCATTCAAGAAATAGTGATCTCTAGCTGTTTCTCAGCAATGGCTCATAGCAGGGATAAAAACTCTACAGATATGTACCAACTTTGCCAAAATAACATATGCCTCCAAGACTTTGGCATGTTTACTGGTGGCGCGGGGAGGAATATAGTAGTCTTGTGGCTTTTTTGCTTTTTCCTTGCTTTTTTGCTTTTTTTTTTTTTTTTCCTTTTCCCCCCCCCAGGCTTTGAGCCTCCTCAAACATCTGGAATCTTACAAAAGAATTTCTCCACCTGTGGACCTAGAACACCAATATGTTTTAGAGCATGTGATTCCCTTATCTCCAGCTGCTCAAACCAGACTGCCCTTTCATCTGATATTCTTTAGAACTGCACAAAGTTTCTGGAACATTATATGTACGTTCAGTATTTTTTATTGCTAGATATACGTATGATTCCCTTTCTCTGCTATCTGTGAACATTAAAGTTCTGTAGTATACATTATATATTAATTGTATTTCTTTATTAATGCAGTTTTCACCACAAGTACTTCTGAAAGTAGTTGTGCTCCCAAATTGCTACTGGTGAGGTAACTGGCTTTCAGTGGAGCTAAGATGATATATACAATACAGAATTCTGTCCTCAAATTCTTTTCTTAGGACCTCTCAAAGAGCAAAGTAATCCATGTATCCCACTTCCCAGGCCAGTGTGACACATTAAGATTATATTCTTTCTCTCCCAATGGAGTTCTGCATCTAACAATAAACTGAAAGTGCTTAATTTCATAGAGAAACCTGCAAGTGGACTGTGATACCATCATAGACAGCTCTCTTCTTCCTTTCAGCTGCAGAGCTCAGTGAGGAATCCTTCCCAACACTTCTGTTGATTTCCAAACTAATGAAGGTAAAGTAGCATCTTGAAAGAATTTATTTCACAAATATTTTTCCCACACACAAAAAAGAGCTTTCGTCTTTCTTTTGCATGATTTTGGCCTCACTATAGAACTGACAATTCTTAATCTACTTTAATGTTTTTCTAGGTTTCACTGGATACCTTGCACATGTCTGCAGCTCGACATGTCTTTGAAAAAAATTTAAAACCAAAAATATTTGAAATGAGAAACACTGGATATACATCAGTTGTTAACAAGGAAACAACTAAAACTGTGCAGACAATTCAGTCATATCTGCTGTCTATAATTAATCCAGAGTGGGCTGTAGCTATTGCTCACAAGATTGCACAAGAATTTCCAACAGGTAAAGTGCATATGTGATGACTTGAAGGGTTAAGTAATGGGAGAAGAATAGGTTTGAGAAAAGAAAAGCTAGCCTGTAACCAAACATTTTTTTCTTGGATAAAACCTGGGGAAGTTTGAGAATAAAAATGCATTTGTCTCCTACATCCAATTTTGAACAGTAGGCTAGAACAACAGTCATTTTATAACACAGCATCGCTATTAAATCCTTTTTTCTCTCTTTTTAAGCCATGTTGTCTTGCTTAAAGTTTTTGCATGTTCATAGCATCTTCAGACAAGTTTTCCAGCAAAGGCAAATATTTCAGCCAAATTTAAGCTAGTGTCTCTATTATCTGAATCCAAATAGATAATATTTTTTTTCTCTTTAGGTACAAGAGCTTTCCCAATACTTTAAATATCTTCTAAAATTTTTTTTTAATTGTTTGAAATAAAATGGATATTCTGTATACTGTAGAAAGGATTCATGAAAACTTACTTTATTTACTTCCTTCCCCCCCTTTTTATCCTTTAAAAAAGGTCCTGACCAGATTCAGGCATTGAAATTCTGTCTCTATCTAGCTGAGAAATGGCTAAAGAATACTACAGCTAAGGTAATGGTAAACTGCTTGCAAAACACTTGTTTTACAGTCGGGTACTTATGTTAGTGTTTTGTCTTTTGCTGTTTTGGATAGTGGTGTGTAAATTGTACCTCAACCAACCCTGACATGGGAAGTACTTTCTTTTGGGGAAGTGACTGTGTAAGTGACCCCTCAGAAGAACCCTCTCTGTCCAGTAACATTCTCCTGTTCACAACCTAGCAAAAATTAGGCTTACCGTTCTTGGAGGTTGGACAAAAAATACACAGTTTTAAGGAAGAATAATTTGTTCTTTCTCCTGTTGTGTGCATTTTTCTTGCTGCAGGAGAATGAGTTGGAATCTGTTCCAGCTGTTAGATCAATAGCATTATTAACTTTTGCTTTGAGTTCCAAGACACTTTAGCTATTTGTAGTAGTATATATAAAGAAAGTCTGCTTTGACTTGATTCTCAGGCTCATTTTTACATGGTTGGTAGGGAAAGGTGAATAAGAATCTCACCCTTGCTTATAAATATCGAACTTGCTATGGAGTTGTTGAGAGACAATGAACACTAAATAGTTCTCTGATACTTAGTCACATCTTTAATTTTGGCACAATTCTATTCAAACTGTAACTCTAGCAGCCAGTGTTTAATATTAAATCTTTTTTCTTCTCCATCTTGCCTCAAAATGTCTTAGTTTTACATACTGGTGCATGTAGTACATATTTGGCTTTTTCACAACATACCTGTGTTTACAATTTTTTTCAAAATATGTTTTCTGGCTAGAGCAGCATGGTTAATACTGTCTGTTTACAGAAAAAATACCTGTAGATACAGGTATGGGGACACATCTGAAGAACAGATCTTGCTACCCAGTTCACTGTTTTAGCCTCCTTTTACTCTTAACTTTTTATAGTCTGTTTTATATAAAACTGTGGTGTTTTACTAAAGGATGATTCACGTGAAAAAGCAGAAGTCCTACAGAAGAAATTATATATGCAGTATAAGCGATCAGCAACAGAAAACGTTCTAATAACACATAACTTGAACACTGGAGAGCATTTAAAGTCTATTGGGAAACCAGCAAATCTTATCATTTTACTGTACGAACACCACAGTATAGACCAAAGAATCCAAAATCCAACTGGCAGGGATTATCCAGGTGAGTATCCATAACCTAGTTTCAAAGAAGCAAAAAGTAGTTCTTTAAAAAATGCTAAGCAAGATAATACTAGTTTGTAAATATATTGTCTCTACCTATTTATGTAGATATCCATGTGGCAGCTAAGGAGATAGCTGAAATCAATGATTTGGATATGAACAAAATTTGGGATAAACTGCTGGATAAATGGCTGTGTCCAAGTATACTGCCCTCAGAAGTAAGTCATCACTGAAGATTTGGTTTTGGAGAAAAATGGCCAATTACATAAAATATGTATATTTTTATCACTTGGTCAAAAGACAGGTTATTTTGCACAATTTGCCTTTAGTACTTATGAATCTCTTTAAGATGCATCTGAATTCAGATGACTAACAATTTCAATACCTTTCTAATACTGTTGCACACCACTCTCTCTAGTGAGAATGATTTGAAATGCTTTCCCTTCTCTCTGTATAGAGATTAAAATCTTATCTTTAGTGCTACAGTAAGGTTGTGTAGCCAGCCTAAAGGAGTAAAGGAGTTGTAAATGTATTAGCCTCATGAAACACTGATTCTAGAATTAGAAAGAGAATGAATCCTCTCCTGTTGCAACTTAGCTAACAGAGAGTTAATTGCTGTCTGTGCAGCATACAGCTGGGTGAGAAAGGGCAGGGAGTAGGCATTGCCTCTGCTTCAAAATACCAGTTAGCAGGCTGAGGAATGGTGTTGACTGCCAAGTATACAGTTAAATAAAGAAAAGACTGATAAAACCAGAATTCCTTTCCTTGGCTGCATTAGCAGGGGTGCCCAGCTTTTAAGACAGGGTTTAAGCAAGAATATGACCCTGCTATTTAGCCAAACAATTTAGAAAACTCTCACAACTAGATTTTCATGTCTTTTTAAAGAAAACTCAAGAAATCTTTGGAGGTGTACAGGAAGATGAAGAACTCCGAAGGTATGTGTGTTGTCTTACATATAATATGGCAAATTGGCATTAACTTGCAAGTTTAAGTGTATCTGGCTTTTTCAAGAAACCTAGCAATGGGTGTGATTCAGAACTTACTGTTGTGTTTTCATTTTTTACTTTCTGGTGACATCCGTTTTGAATCGTCAAATACTTATTTATGCAATGAAATGCCATTTGCAATAACTTACAGATGTAAGTAAGTGCTTAAGAGTAGCTATTTGGAGGTTTTCTCCTCATTTTTTATATCCTTGGAATCTCTTATCCTTAATCTCTTTTTGACAGTGAAATATACTTACATTTGAATGAACATTGATACATTGTATTTCAGTAGCTATGCAGTACTTGTATTAAAAACAAATGCATTTTTGCAGAGTTATATATCTACTTCAGTCACGCCCAATGGATTATAGTTCAAGAATGCTTTTTGCAATTACAACATCTGCCACATCTGTAAGTTCCTAAATTCTTGTTTTAGCTTGCTACTTATGAAATTTTTACCTCTTATTGAAATCAGATGTAGTCTACTTAACTGTATGGGTTTCAGCCTAAGGCCTTTTAAGCTGTGTTTTGGATAGTTTATATGTCTGTAAGAGCTGGATGTTTCTCGCCACCCACTTTTGGAGTAAAACTGTGGTGTTCATTGAATTTTGCTATTGACTGTCAAGAGCAGCCCTTGAACTCTGGGTTTTCTACATTTATTATTGATATTATCTGAAAATAACTTCATTAAACGTTTTCTAGAATGTGCTTTAAGCTGGTGTGATACATTGGCTCACTTTGGGTGGAATTAAAGCAGAGTGGTAAAATTATTTTAGCAGAACCTTAACCTTCAGTCTTTCACACTTACTAAATGTATTTGTGATACTATATATCACAAATATTTTTCTTGCCTGCATTAATAGTCTTAAATCTAGAAAACCACCTGGTTTAGCAGCATTCTTTGAAGTTGACAAATATTTCAACTGGTTAGTATAAAAGTTGAATGTGAACCAGTCTGTTAGTTAGCATATATTTCCACTAAATGAATGAAAAAAATCTTAGAAAGGATCATACTAGATGTATATAACCCTCTTTCTAGTTGTTCAGCCAATTGTTGTGACTTTCCACTCTGTTGGGTTTTTTCCCCCTTCTCAGCCGATTGGTGTTACTCAGTTGACGTTCGCTCACAGGAGCAGAGCACTTAAGTGTCTGCTCTACTTGGCAGATACCAACACTGTGGAATCACTCTTCAAGAAACCCATTGAGAAAGTGAAGTAAGATGATTTTTCCTTAAGGTGTTCCTTAATAATGATGGTTTTTTGGTCTTTAAGAGCCATTGGGAAGAAATATGTGATATTCGGAGAATTATTTTTTACTAATCTGTTTTTTGAGCTTTTAAAATCTATTTCTGAAGAACGTAACTACATCTTTTAACTTCACTGTAATGCAGTCCAGTACATCACAGTCCTAATTTGTAAACCTGAAAGTAATATGACATTACGTGGAAAATATTCTGTTCCATTTTGCATAGATTGCAGTTACTTCTCTAGTAACTGAAGCATTTTCTCCTCCCCATGTATATACTATTGAGTTAATCAGAGTTCAGAACTGGTCATCTTGCCAAGACATAGTCCTCTGCAAAAGTAAGGAACCAAAATCCCAGCAGAATAATATTGTTTCTCTGAAAATATCTGTAGAACTAACTTCCTTAGAAAAAATCTAGAATAGAATTTCTATGCTGGTAATGTGGAATTAGGGCCTTTTTAATGGAAAGTGATGTTTTCAGAATACATCATGCCACATAGCTACATATGGGTTTCTGTAAATATGCAGTCTCTGTGCATAAAATGAAATTTTAGTTGAAAGAGTTACAGTAACTGGTTTATCTTTAGACATGATCCAAGCCATCCATCGTTCAGGTGAATGAGGTTTCCCTAAGCAATTACCAGAAAGTTTCTTACTTCATTAAGATCTCCTTCATAAGTACAAATACAGTCTACATTTTTTTGTTGTGGTTTTTTTTTTTTAAAGCAATAGAACAACACTTCCAATATTATCCTGAGCTTGATTATGTGAGTTATAATATAATAATCACTGTAAATATCACTAACTCCTGTTTTTGGGGGGACTTTTTCCACAGGTATTTTCTAAAATGCTGCATTTATCTGGCAGAGTTTGAAATCTTAAATATTCCATATACTTATGAATCATTTCATAAGAGTCCTAAGGAAGGAATGATTAAAGGGCTATGGAAGAATCACAGCCACGAACCCACAGTATGATTTTTAAATTCTTTGGAATTTTTTGTTTGTTTGTTACACGTTGTGTGAAATGTACACCTTTCTACATAGCACATGCATTTCTGAACAGATGTTGTTCCAATGTACTCTGTCCTATTCATACACTACTCATGATATGCTACTCATAATTCTATTTAAAAACACCAGTGAATATGCAAGTACCCCAAAGACTCTCCTCTTTCAGAGTGACAAAAAAAGAAACCCCAACCTGTTGATCAACCTGTTGAACCCTGTTGATGTGCTGACTACTGTCCATCACATAATTATTCCCTAGTACTTGCCCACCTTTGTGTACCCATACCTTGTCTCTTGTCTGGGAAGCAAGATCTTTGGTGCAGTAGCGTTTTTGTTTTGTTTTTGTTTTTGTTTTGTTTTAAAGTTGCTTGGACTCATACCTCATGCTTTTAATATGAATTAAATATTAACAGGTATACACGTTAGAATAGCTGTTAGTTACTTATCTAATATGCCAGAGATAGGTTTTAGGTTATGCTCTGCTTAGCAATTTAACTTTGACAATTACTTTGTGTTACAAAGTATGTTTTGTAAACAGCTAACTTAACACTGAAGACAAGGGCAGGTAAATGAGATTTCCAGGTAGGCAATAGTGTATGACAAAAAAAGTATACTATTCTATTAAGGCTTCAACAATAATACTTCTGATTTATAGCCATAAAATGGAAGTGATCTGTTCTTTAGTTGAAATATACACAAGCTAGTCTAAAATTTGAAAATGACAGATAAAAAAAGCTTTAGCTTTCCTACAATTAGAAAATAAAGTGATATCACGTATAGGTGGGGGTTTTGGTTTTGTTTTAATTCTCCTCACATGTGTAAAATAATTTTGAAAGTGGCGTGGTGGTGGCCTTCAGAAGTTAAAGGTCTCAGTAATGCTGTAAAAATCTAAAATTACACTGGCAAGCAGTAAAGGTTTGAAGGTCATGAATGTATATTAAAATACAGTGTGTCCTTGCTCTCCTTTAGGCTGTTAGACTGGTGGCAGAACTTAGTCTAGAATACAAAGTGTATGATTCCCAACTGTGGAATGGCCTACTACAGAAACTCCTTGGTTTCAATATGGTAAGGAATTTTTAAGCATGAAGTTCTGCAGCGAGGTGAGAAAAAGGCTTTTTTTATCCACTGATTTCTAAAGAATGTGATGGATACATAAACTATAAACTTACTGTGAACAATTATTGATAGTTTGCATGGTTACTTTGAGCTCTCAAATACTGAACTGATGAAGCTTTGAGGAATTTGTGTTTTAGCAGTACTGCTTGAGAATTTTGATCTTAAATTGTTCTAGTTTTATTTTTTTTAAAGGCACAAAGCCTTTCAAATGACAAGAGTAAATCCTATGATAATAAATTGAAAAATTGCTTCATATGATTATAATTTTACAACATAATATGCATATTTGTGTGCAAATATATACACACATATGCACAAACTGTGCATGTGTGTATATATATGTATACATATACAAACACAAAAATACTACCCCTAAAATGTATTTATTATGATAGTAATCCTGATTTTTATCATTCAGAATCTTAATTACCTCTGATTGTCAAACTTCACGTAAAGTTGCTACAGCCTAAGGAGGTAACAGATGTACCTGGCACGTGGTTTGTATCAGGAGCAGGTATTGAAGAAGCTAGTTTTAATCTAATGAGATTTAGGTACTAATAGCAAAGAAAGTGGGATCATAAACTTTTCAGCACCGGTTGTATTAAGACTACCGGAAATCTTGGGTATTTACTGAGGCAACATATGCCACTATTGCTTGTGATAATTTAATTTTCTAAACTATAAATCATATTTCCATATGCATCAGTTACTCCTCCCAAAGGAACAGAGGTACCTTGAGGAACTGTAAGTTTGCATCCTGCAGACAAGACAGCAAGCGTAATGCAGTTCTGTAGATTATCGCCAAATCTTCAAAAACACTGTAGAATTTTATAATGAAATTTTTTTTTTTCCCAGATTCAATATCTAAGAAGAGTTTTGATAGCAATTACTGGGATTCATTCATTATGGGAGGTAAGCAAATATTCTGACTCCTAATCTTTTTCTTCACTTAACAGGAGTTTAGCATCCTATTTGTGTGTGTGTGTGTGTGTGTGTGTGTGTGTGTAGGGCAGCCATCTATGCCATGAAGTGTTATGCATGAAAAGATTCTTTTTGAATGACTATTTTTATGACAATGCAATATGCAGATGAGTATCGTTATTAATCACTGAAATAGCATATTTTGCACTTGTGGTTCCTTCAGTAAACACTTACTTGGAGGGTTTTGTAAAGTCGGACAGAACAATTTTGCCATCAGGCACAATATGGCTAAATCTTAGACTATGAGATGAGGAAAGCAATGTTAGGGAATAATTCATCCAGGATAAAAAGAAAAGAAAACTGATAGGTTTCTTCCACCTACAGTGGGTCAGGATGTCTGTGTGTCTGTGTTTACTAGTACACTTAGTTACAACTGTGTTTAGCTATTACTTTAAAACTTTGTTGTCAACAGATTCCCAACTTCAGTCGAGCTTGGCGAAGTGTAGTTCTGTCACCATTTCTCACAGGTAGGGTTGTTATTAGCTATCATGCTTGTATAGTAACCTGGTTATGTATTTACTTTATCATGTTTTCTTTATTTTTTAGCTTCATGTCCACCAAGTCCTAAACAGTTAGAGGAATGTTGCGAGTGTTTTGTGATTCTGCTGAAGTAAGTAGATAGTACAGCCCACATTTGTATTAGAGTGGGAATGCCCATTTGTAATTTCTTGTCCAACAACCTACCCTGAAACATGTAAAGGAGCTCTGAAAACTGGGGAACCTGAGGCATGAGGGAGAACCTTTTGCCTCTTGTGGGAAGGACAGGATCAGGGCACACACCCGAACAGAAATTCTGTGCTTGCCCAGAGACTGTTGACAATGTGCTGTAACTCAGTACCTCGGCTGTTTAAACTGTACGGGGAACTGCTCTCTGAATTGGGACTCAGAATCAGCAGCACAGACTGCTGAAAACCAATTTATCTGCCCAGTCGCTGCCCCCATGAGGGATGTCTGTTCCTGTCCTGACAGTTTTAAAGGACTCATGGTCAACCCTAAAAGTCCAGTTAATATTTTTCTTAGCCCAAAAGGTAGCACATTTCCTAAAACATTAACACAGAGTATAAGATAATTCATTTTCCTACAAAGAATAAATCTGACATGACAAAAATCTAATAGCTGCACACCTATAAATGTGGTTAACCTATGGTATTAATGTTCTAAAACATTCTATACATAAACAAGTTTTGCATTACTTTTACAATGTAAAAAAGCACCATAAATCATTATCTTATTCACCACAATGTTCTGACTTGCTCAAGGGAAGAACCAGAGCTCAGAGAGCCTGACTCAAACCAAAAGCTAGTTAGGAAATACTGGAAAGGGATCCAGCTGAAGAACATGCCTACACTACTGTGCATATACATATGTACCAAAGCATTTCTCTGGGCAGTTGGCCAACACTTCCCCTCAAAATAGGGCCTTGGGAGAAACTGGAGTTGGGTGGGGGTTTTTCAAGCTAGAAAATCATCATGCATTTGTATTCTGTGAAACTTCAACTCACATATAACTTGGCCATTTCTGAAAATAAGATGAGGTAAAAATGTATTGTTCTATCTGGCTTAAAAATCTCAGTGCAGTTTTGCTGATGGTACTAAGCCATCCAGTTATACGTATCATAGTTGAGAACTTCACTCCTAATCTTCTTCTGAAGGTGTCCTGTTCTGGCTGACTTGGATGTCATCGGAATAGCTAAACAATATGCACAGTTGGACCTTCCAGCTTTTGCTTTGGGGTGCCTGTTGCTGATTCCTCAGTCTGAGAAGCGAGAGCAGCAAATTCAGGTAAATAATGTTTTGTGTTCTATCTGTGCAAGGGAAATGTCTTTAAGCATTTCATGTTCAACAGAGACTGTGAAAGATGGTAATTTATAATCCCATCTTATTTTAAATATGCCACTGCTGACAGCTGCTTGGCATTTCCCACCCACAAAGGGTGTTGCCCTGAATTTGTCCTTCTGAAGGGGATCACGTGAACACTTCCTCTTTTTTTTTTTTTTTAAAAAAGCAAAATGCTCTAGCTTCAAGTCATCCTCAGCAGCTTTGTCATATGACTTTGCCTTTTGAGGATTTGAGGATATTTTATGGGATCCCACCCATAAAACCCATGAAAAAAAAAACAATAAAACCCAAGCCATAGCCATATACCTGCTAGAGCAGTGTGAAGTTATGGTAAATTGTAATTGCTGAGAAGCTACCAGTGGGCTAGTTTCACAGCAGATTGTAAGAAAAATACCGAATCCTACTTCGGAAAAGTGTTGAGTTGAAACCTCCTGACTTCTTAGAAAGATGCTTGATATGCATCACAAGTTGTGATGTAAACCTTTTGCCTTAAAGCCATATCCTTGCTATTCACGTATCTTGACAGTTTCCTTTCTCTTCTCATTTGTTTCCATTAATTTATGCTCTGCGTTGTTCTCCCAGATGAAGCATTATAGGCTGTTCCCATATTTGTCGTGAGCGAACCGGCACTAGTAAAGGCACCTTTAAATTCTTAGGCTTCCAGTCAGGAGTTAAGCTCAGAAAGAATTTCCCAAATTACAGCATTAGCGCAAGATATTTAGTCTGCTGGCAATTAGTCAAAAAAAATCTATTAACAGCTACAGCAGAATACCCTTTGAGGGTTAAAAGCAATGAGTACTACTCTTTCAGTCAAACTGCACAGATCCTGGTTTGATAATTTCATGTTTGTACCTAGCATTTCAAAATATTGATTGTTCCTGAATAAATCAAATGCTTGCTCCAAAGGGAGAGTTTCTACTTTAATCATTCACAGAATATTAATGTTTTGTAACTTATTTTTGCAAGGGTTTCTTATCAACATGTAACACAGAAACTGTGCTGCAACAAATAGATGAACACATGAACACTGGAGAAGTAGTGGCATTTGCTTCTCAGGTAAATAAATAAAATTTACTTCACTTGCCTTTGACTTAGAGGCTTTTTTGATAGATAAGTGTACATAGAACCTTTTTTTCTCTCTCTCCTGATCTTGCCAAGCGTAAGTTGACATAATGCACACTTCTAAAATATAGCAACATTTGCAGGGATTTTTGCATTTTTATTAATGATGTTGTGCAACTGAAAAACTTCTTGTCTATATACACAGTGCTGTGTTACAGGCTGCCCCTATTTGTAGGACAGCATTGTTTGCAGCAGTACTACTTTAATTTTCTAAACAAATGTTTTAAGCAGAAAGTCCAAAGGGTTTATGAAACTGCACTCTCTCTTGCCTTGCCTTGGGCTGCCTTCCTAAGGGCAAGTTTCTTAACTCATTCCCCTATCTGAACCTGAGATTAGTCTTCATAAAATCTGCCATTTCACAGCACTAAAAAAAAAAAATTAAAAAAATCCTGCTATACGGGAGTCCAATAAGAAAAGTCTGAGCTCTTTTCACTCAAAAGTAAATTTTTTAATGTTTAAAATATTAATACCTTTCCATTACTAAAACTTAAATCTACAGATTAGATCCTTGGTTTTGGACAGTATCATAAATGAGAAGCTCTATGAAAAATTCTTGAAAACGAAGTATTTTCCACTGTTGAAGCAACAACTGATGAATACTCACCGAATGAAAGAACTGGTGGATTATTTTGCTAAAAAGAACTGGTAAGTTAATAAAACAGGTGATGTATGACTGATAGCAATTACAGAAATTGAATCTCTCCTTTATTTTATTTTCATTTATTTGAAGTCGTTGAGATTTTCTAGTACTTAGTCTCCAAGAATTTTCAAAGTATTGCTAAGTTAAATAAAGAAATAAAATAAAAATCTTACCTCACTGCTGTGCATACTTAGGATAGTTTTACAGTGTCATTCAAGCCAAAGGAACAGCTTTTTGAGCCTGGACTGGCAGGCAGATCAAATGCAGTTAAAATAGCAGAAGTGCCCTGACTGAAAAAGCACTTTTGCTTTGAATCACTTCAGCATACCTTCAGATGAATTCAGCTTAGTGGCATCATGGAGTCACAGCTTCAGCAATAAAAACACTGAAAAAATAAATGAACTGCCTGTACTCAAGACTTAGAAATTAGTGGTTTTGCTGCTAAGTTTTTCAAGAGTTAGAAATACCTCTTACATTCCGCTTAAATAAACCAAAGGGTCTTGCCACTGAACCTGCTGCAGGGCAGTTCTCAATCAGCTTCTATCAGTGACTCACAGCACTTGGGCTCATTGCGCACAGCTGCAAACTTCCATTTTAGACCCCAAATACTCAGTATTGCAAGTCACTTTGTTACCAGTTATCCTGCAGTCAAAATGGGACAGGAACCAATAAATAGCCATTTAAAGTCTAGTATATATTGGTTTTATTAGCAGCTACAGGTTAAATGCTAGGCTTGTCATGGCTTGCTTTCCTCTACTGGGAAATGATGGGACCTACCCGACTTCAAAAATGTGAGGTCATAGCTTATTTTTATACTTCAGTGTACATAGTCTAAGTTCTTGGCTTTTTAGCGAACTTGTTGACAGAGTTGATAAGCTTTTCCCTCCTACAGCATTGATGATGCAACAGCCCTAATTCAAGAATATCAAGAGAAATATGGAAATCCTACTCTGGTAGACATACCATCATCTGATCTTCTGAAGGTAAACCACCTTTGTACCTCATGCAATATTTTCTCCTTTTTTTCTAAACTAAGACTTTCACTCAACTTTTAGCAAAAATACTTGTTAGCCGATTTTAGTAAAACGTATTGTGTATAGTAAAATATCCTTTTATTAATTCAAGTAATTCATTTTACTTGAACCAAATCTGTGCCATGCTAAGCCTTATGCTTTCACGTACTTTCACAGGTCTTAGATTATATCCTGTGTTCCTAAGCCCTATTAATATTGTTCTTTTACCTTCCAGATGTATCTGAATGGACCAGAGGAGACCTGTGTACTAGAACCGTCATCGATAAGATCTTGATTTACCCTTTTCTCCCTCTACTGGCAAGATGAGGGCCATGCCTTGAGGATGCTTGTACTGGTTGAGTGAACGTTAAACTAAAACCTCAATGCTCTCTTACCAAAAGCTACCCTGAGCTTTCCACATTTTTTTTTAACTGTTCTAGGCTGTTTCTCCCCATACTCTATCCCCATTGAAACAGTCTGTTCTAGGCTGTCTGTCCCCATACTCTATCCCCATTGAAACAGTTTAGATTTACAGAATTTCCTGTTTCTATTAAACATTAATGTTCATGTTCAGCACTTCGATTTTAGGAAGGATTAAAGCTTATTTCCTTTACTACTATATTTCTTAGTGTTTAAGTAAGTCTGCTGTCAGGATCACTCTAAGATTTCATTCACACAAACATAACCTTGCATAATTGTGATGAACTTTTTTTAAAACTGTAAGTGGTGTACTTCATGTAAAATACACTTTGTAGACAAATTGTAATTTTAACTACAGTGAGCATAAATAAACAGACTTACATATCAATTTTGGCCTTACAGTATTCTATAAGCCTTTTTTAATTATGAAGTTGTCAGTAAATTGACGTTCCACTCAGTCGCTAACTTTCCTTGAATAACGTGTGCCAAGGTTTTCTTTTCAACTTTGTTCTTTCTGTATGTCTGCAGCAGGACAAAGCAATAGGCATGAGTTTCACTGCATGAAATAGCACTTAGCCAAAGGTTCCCGAGATATCAGGCTGAAATGCTTGGTCTTTTTCTAAGGTAAAGCAAGTTTATTTTGAGTAGAAAGAAGTTACACAAAAGTAAGGGTTCTAGCTGATCCCTTAAGTTGTACAGAAAACCATTAGTTTAACTCAAACCGTGACAAATACCACACAGCTTTTTGCACAGATACTGCACTGGAAAAAGTCATCATACAAAGGTCAACATCTGCAAAGGAAACAGGCCACCATTCTAAATGTTCTTCTCTAGAAGGCAAGATAAAACTCTGCTTTTATTGGAAAGTTAGCGGTCATGAGAAAGGGGAGCTGTTAAAATACCTTCAGTTCCCTGCAGTCATGAGAATAAGAGAGCCAAAAGATCCAGTCGTCTTGAACAACCAATGTTTTAGCCTTCAGCAGTAGAAGTGCCATGTGGAATGACATTATTTAAAACCTCTGTACATGGAGTGAAGTGCGTACACGTGTCATGTCAGATATAAGCCATAAATAAAGGAAAGCCTCTCTTCACTGTTTATAAATTTAATGAGACCATCATTCATTAAAGCATAGTGGTATTTGAAACTGCTTTGATTATAAAAAGGCTGAAGTTAAGCTTTCTACAGTGAAATTACTACTGTAAGTTATGAGTTAATTGTAATATTTTCAGAATCTACCACTCCATTTTATTCTTTTAACTTAATTGGGAATATTAAATTGAGAAAATGAAATATCAACTGGATTCCAAAGCAAACATAACATGGCCCCAGAGCCCTCAATCTTCTCCTTCAAGCCCTTTACCAGCATCCTTTAGAAGTCAGTCACCAAACCAGAGCATCAGGCATTTTAAAAGCACCTACAACTGTTGCATTGTTTCCCAACAACAGTTCATAAAGCTTAGTTTTTCTATGAAGTGGAGTTTATTACAACATTAAGGAACAGTATTTAAACAGTTCTTTTCATGGAATATTTTACAAATCAATTCATACAGAGAAAAGCAAACACAATGTTATTTTAAAATTACCAATAAGCTACATTGTTAAGCTGTTAGCAAGTAAGTGTAGTACTGTAAACTAGCAATCAAGTATTGTAGTAACTTGCAGTTCAGCATGAGATGGTAAAAATACCAGACAAGCAAATACATTTTTAAGACTTTTTGTACTCAATTCTTTCTACTTTCACATCATCTCCAATTAGTTGATAGACATATGTGACTACTGTAGAAGCCTGGATATCCATCAGCACAAATGAAGGAATGATGTTGCTGGAAAGAGAGGAAAAAAGCCATATTAATTGTGCATATATAATCGCCTTAGCAGTGTTTCACCACTAGTTAACAGAAATCAATCTAAGAGAAATGGATATGAATTTTGTAAGTGCGGTACATCAGATCTGAAGCTTTAAGTATTCCATTCTCATCTGTTTCAGTCAAGGAGATTTAGCAAGTACTATCAACCCTTCCTCTCCCCAACAATTAGAATGTAAACATTAACCTTCATAATGAGTTTTGTAGTTCAGTTTTGTTATCAAAAAGAACCCCCTGCCAGGTATTTCCCACACTTCACTTACTTCTCTAAGGCATGATAAGCTCCTGTAGCTGATCCTGGATTGATATAGAACTTATTTTCATGTTCAAATGCCTCAAATTTGTGTGTATGTCCTGAAATTAGGATGTCCACATCAAACTGCCTTTGTAGCAGTGCCAGGCTGGCCATATCACCCCAAGGAATAACCTGATGGCCATGAATCAGCCCGATTTTGAACTGTCCAACAGTTACAACTTTCTGTTCAGGATAATTCAGGTTCTAAAAATTTAAAAAAAAAAAAAAAAAACAACAAAAAAACCACATAAAAAACCACACACATTAGATGTACATATTTGTATTTAAAATCTCTATGCAACACCAAGAAGAGAGGGGGAAAGCTTATGGAAATATTCCATGTAATCGGCCCTACCGCTACAAACTGAGACCTACAAAGCTGCTTTTATGAACACTGGAGAATGGTAGGATGCAAGGAACTTCAAAGACCTGAAACAGCCAGTCCTGTTTGCTGGAGTCCTAGACATAGCCAAGTACGCAAATTACTTTTATTCATACTGATGACAGATGAGAACTTACTGTGCAATTCACGTTATTGATTGTAACCCCAACTCTTTTGCCCAGTTTTCTTTCCACGTGCTCTTAGTACTACGTAAGCTCGGTTTGCCCACTTCTACTTGAATTACAAATAACCCAAATGTTGCCTTTGTGTAAAAGATGCACAGAAAACATCATTATCGAGAGAGGACACTACCTCATCAAAGTCCCCTCTGACAACGTGAACATCCCCAGCCAGAGTCTTGAGGTAGTCGTAAGTGTCCTTGGTGCAGAGGTTTCCTGTGCAGAGGATGTGTTGGATCTTTCCTGGAACCAGCAGTTTTTTGAATTTGGCTGGGAGGCTGTTGCATCGGTGTGGAATGTGAAGATCTCCTAATACTAACACCAACTTATCAGGTGTCACGACAGGAAAGGAAGATCATTACAGATACTTATTAAAACAAGAATCATTGGCAAACAGAAAGCATTGCAATGTTGTCTTCAGTTTCATAACTTTGCATTTTGATGTAAAAGCTACTAAAATAAGAATGAAATGGTGATGGAATATTGCTAGATTGAGGGAAAACAAGGGCCCTTACTAACGTAGAACATTATCCAGACGGGGGGCTTACAAACACAATAGTCTACAGATTTTTTCTTTTATTTTGTTGCTGAAAGCCACTGTGAGGTATAACAACAGAAATGTGTTACTACTTGATGTATTTTACACAAATTTGGGAACTACCATAAACTATCCCACTTTTTTTTTTCCTCCTTAAACATCCAGAAAAAAAATAATACAGGACATCTCTAGTATATGTTCTCAAGCACAGACCTGGCTAAACTGTGGCCACTTCCCTTTAAAACTCTTCATCCCCGTTTCTACTTTAATTAACTTCCGTTTCGTTCCTTATCATGAAGAAAAAAAAAAAGAAGCAGCAAATTTGCAACCTGTGTTAATAGCTGACCAGAATAGGAAGCTTGTTCAGAGTCCGTATTGTAAGAACCACTGAACAACAGGATAAGACTAACAGTTTAAAACAAAACAAAACAAAAAACCAGGGCACTGCAGAGAAGATAAGCCAGACTACTACACACATTGGTTCCGTTACCAGTTCTATATATTCATAGTTTCAATACGATAGATGCAAGGACAATGCAAATTTAATGGGGGCTTCAAAATTAAGGATTCAGATGAAGTAAGACCATAGTTTAATATCACAGGCTTTAAATCTGCAAATAAAGAAATAATTAATGTGAGAAACACAGCAATAAATTAATTATGCAAAAAGGGCATGAAAAGCTCTATAAAGCATGGGGTGTTATGTCACTACACTGTGAAAACACTGGATCTAGAGACAGTCATTATCAAGTTAACTTGATAGATAGCTCCGTATTAAAAGAGACAGTTTATCTTCCAACCATAATGCTTTGTTAGTAAGACAGTTCCTAAAATGACAGCCATCAAATGTGTTTGTAAAAGACACCACCCAGATACATATATATATATGTAAGCAGTAGTAACTATGCTAAGAAATTACCTTTTTTAATATTTGCTTTTTAAATTTTTAGGCCATGCAGCTATTTTCATGCTAACAGTCATCAAAAAAGGCAGAGGGAACTCGGGTGGGTTTTTTGTTTGGGTTTTGGTTATTTGAGATTAAGAACGTCTCAGTGCCATCATCAAAGCCCTGCACCTTTGGAGAACAGATGGTTGAAAGTATCGGTAAAGCAATACAAGAGTTTTTTAATCAATGAGCTACCAATTTAAAACTAACCCAGGAGAAGGGGAATAACCCAGGAGGGGGGGGGGAAGACACATTTTTTTATGGTCTTTCAAGAGTTCCCTCACTAGCACCAGTCTAGAGATATACTTGAATGCAAGTAAAAAATGGATAACAAGTAGTTTTGATTATTAAAGTGGCAATAGACAGATAGATTCTCTTAATGATGCGTAAGGGACTTAGACATGCAATATCAGTTATGGATTTAATGTTTAATGAAATTATACTGCCACTTAAAACACATAACCCCGCTGAAGTCAGCAGAGCTTGTGCATTCAGCAAAGACCATTTCCTTTGCTGACGAACTGGCAGGCCCCGTATTTTCCCCCAAATCATGTTTGAGCTCCCATTAATTAAAGAAGAGCTTGGCAAGCTACAATAACAAAAACAAATTAAAAGCATTGAAGTGTGTTTAATAATCACAGGTATCTGCAACATAAAGTAGTGGCAAAGAATGTTACATCTGGCTCTAACTAGGAATTTAGGTGCGATCTTGAGCGTGGTTTGAACAGCAGCCCCTGATTCATATGTACCATCTGACATTGATATCATCTAGTAACATTAACAAGCCCTTACCACCGGTGTTAGCAACAGCCAAGAGGAGTAAACTTACTCTGTGCCCAGCCTTATTGGAATGAAGAAGTTGATTGCAGGCAGGGGGGGATGAAAAACAGGGTGAAACATGATCAATGTTAAACAAAAGAAAGCAACAGAAAAGAAAATATAGCCAAATGAATAGGCAAATAATAATTAATGAATTGTTGATGTTATGAAAGAAGCGTTACCAAAAAAAAAAACCCAAAAGAAAAATCAAA